TGTCCTTGGTTGGGGTGTGCAAAGGCTCATCCGCAATCTCATGCAACGTCAATGTTTTGGATGAGCCACCTGACGATGACAGAACATCACCGTTATGTCCGCAATCTCGGCTGGGACGATGCATCAACATGGCTTTACCTTGGCGCATGTGCAACGCCTTCTCTTGCTTATCCGCCTCGCGAAAAATTTGCAGATACGTAAACACCATTATCGTGCAAGGTATCCAAAAAGAAATGGAACTCGATATTACTGCGTACCACTTATTGACCACAAACTCGCAGATATTTGGATGCTCCGCACGGAACCGTTGATTCTCCTCAGTTGTGTACCATCCCAGAAAAATCGGTACAAAGGACAACAACGCTGGTGATACCCAGGTATTCAAAATCATGACAGCAACCACTCGTTTAGTCATATTTATTGGATATCTCAGAGGTTTCACAATGGCATAGTATCTATCTACAGATATACAACACAAATGCAGAATCGAAGCAGTAGAGAAGTAGACATCCAAAGAGTTCCAAACATCACACATAAAATAACCGAATAGCCATCGTCCCGTCAACTGGACACTAAAGTTGAACGTCATCGCCATCATAGCGACCATGATATCTGCCAAGGCTAGGGACACCACAAAGTAGTTGGTGATGATCCTCAACTTGCGGTGTCTCATAACCGAAACGATTACCAGCAGATTACCAAAAATGGCGGCGATGATAATGAGCACCATGATAGAAGATTTGGCGACAAGACCTACAACACTGGACCACTCCTGGACATCGGTGTCGGTAAAATTAGTCGACTCCAGGGTAAAGGATGCATTCTTATCCAGTGGGTGGACATTTGTGGTGTACTGGATCAAACGAGGGTTTTGATCTAAAAGACTGATGGTGCTCAGAGTCGCCATATTAAATGATTTACGAAATGACCAATTACAAATTCGTCTTCGTGCATTTTTGATGTGTGACAAAGTATTTTAGCGAGTGTTCGATCACCACTGCACTGGATTCAGAAGTAGCCATAATGAATTACGTTGTTTTTAGAAATCGCATATATAATTTTAATTATTGATTCGTTAAAAACTTATCTTAGTGTTGTGACGTCTGACGGATGCTTTTTGCCATTTCGTTGGCTATTGTAGTGGCAAAACTGACCTAGAACGAAAAATTTACATTAGATATTATTTTAAAAAAAAATCAAAATAAAATCTAAAAATAGACACAGACGTTTAAAGTTGATTGCATTGATTAAATCAAATGTATATTAATAATAAATTATTGAACAGCATGAGAATAATATTTTTCAGATTCATTAGAATTTTATAACACACACACATATATATAAATGTTTGTATAAATAACTTTTTATATTTTCTTTTCTTCTTTACCTTTCGATGTTTCCAAAGTCTTTTTATTTTTAGACGGATTGCGAAAAAAATAGCCGCGGGTTATTAGGATTTTTTTCTCTGAACGCGAATTAAAATTACTTCAGACAAATAGACAGACAGATTGACGGTCGGATGAGCCGATATTTGTATTTATTTTATATATATTTTATAGTGAGTTCTCCTATTTTTTAGCCTGAATTTCTGGAATATTTCTTTCTAATTTAATATTTTTATATTTAATCAATGCTACCTATTTTCTTATTAATTATTTTTATATATTTATAATCTAAATATATTCATTTATTAATTCATTTAAAGTTTTAATTAATAGCAATTAATAATATTTAATGAAATCAATATGTATTTATTTATATATTATTATTGCTAGTTTTAAAATTATACACATAGAAAAATATGCCACTTTGGTTCTATTTTGAATTGATAAATGCAGCTTAGATATTTTTTCAATCTTTTAAAGTTTAGAACTATTTTATAAAATCCGTTGAGAATTTAAGTAAATATAGAAAAATATTAAGGCTTGATTGGTAAACAAACAAATATAATTGCTTATTTTAAATCTCGTAACTTGTGGATAATTCTATTGATATAAATGATATATACATATTTGGAAATTTTGTAAATATTAAATAACCTATTAGTATATTTTAAAATATTGGTTTCGAAAAATCAGGAAAAGTACACCAATCGGATCAAATAAATGAAGCATTCTGTATCAATAAAATTGGCACAAAATTAATTTACTTCCAACATTGTTTGATATAATATAGTTCTATAATAACAAGGTTTGGAGCCAATATCAGTCTATATATGGTTTACGTTGGAATACCGTCGCTCGGGAAAATAAATGAACTAAATTAAATTAATTAAAATAAATTAAAAGTAAGTAAATTGATAATTCTTTATAGTAAATTAATAATAAATAATTGTAAATAATTCAATGAAAAAATTTCACACCATTTTACGGAAGAAATTTAGATGCAAGTTAAAAGGCTTTGATAGTATTTCTGTAAATTATATATAGTTGAAAAATTAGACTAATAGCACACACACACACGCATATATATATATATATATATATGCGTGTGTGTATACAATTATATGTATATATAATTTATATTTATATTTACAACAATAAATCTATAATAAATTATAAAATTAATAAAAAAAAAACTACTCACCACAAAATAAAAATCCTTCTGAATAAAATCCAATTTTCTTTCCACTTAAATTTAATTTCACTTTAAATCAACTTGAAATTTCACTGTCAAATTTATCATCAGTTCACCACTAACGTACTATTTATAGTACAGTTCTTCACTAATAATATTTATAGTACGATTTCCACAACTATTTTCTGATCCTAATCCAAAAATAGAATTAATAGTAAATCGCATTTTAAAGAGTAAATTACTATTTTATGCAATTTTATAATTTGCCATAAATTTTAAAATAGTTTATAACATAGAAATAGTTTATATTTGTTTTAGTTTAATTGCGTTTTTAATTTACCAACCCTCGAGTGTAAGCACGAGCGTTTTGTTAGTAAAAACACATTTTATACTAATTTTTAGTAACGAAAACATTTTAAATTTTATAGAATATAAATAAATTTCTTCTACTTGTTTGTAATTTATAAACAAAACGAGAGTAAATATACATCCGATACTGTTTTTATTTTTAGCAACTTACTATTGTTTTTAACGTCTAAAATTAAATGAAATAGTTCTTTTAATTTCACTAATTTGAGTAACCACATCGACTAGAGTTTGTTCATATATACATATAAATTAATAATTATTATTTTTTATGAATAATTCGATCACTTTTTCGTTAAAATTCAAAAATTTGTCACGACCAATGAGTTACTAAGAACTAATCTTGAGTTTTGGCAAACAACAACAATTTATTTAACACAAATTATATTAATTTCACAATTTGAAACGCTTTTTATTTTACAACCCTTTTTTGAAATTTTTCGCTGTTTCAATTTTTTTAAAAAATATGTCACGAACAATTTTATTTAACACTCTACGCTCAAAAATTTGGCTTGTCTGATAACACTTATATAATTTTTTAATACATTTTTGATCACCGACCAAAAATTCTCAAAATCACCAGCACCAATCAAAAATAAATTACAACCAAATTTTTTTTACCCCAACATGTACAATATTTTTTTCACCATCAAATAAATGTTAAAAACATCCAAACTGACCAAAATTCTTTCACAACTGTTTACCAATTTTCCCGAAACCATTTACCATTGACATCGATTTATTATCGATTTTGCCGAAAAATGGCATCCGTCCGAGTTGCAAGCCGAGTGCTTACTGACTGAATTTCCCTAGATATCGCGTCGCGTTCGACGAAGTGGGGAGAAATGTTGGTGTAAGGGAGGGACGTGCTTATGGGACGCGCGTGCAGCGCGACCAGGACGGCGAGATGGTTCAGGTTGGAATGCGTGAAGCGTAGGTATTTGGGAATCGTAGCGACTAGGTTTCGGCGTAGGCCGGTGGAGGACGGCGGAGGAAGTGTTGGAATAACTGGTTAAAATGGATAATAGTTGTCAATTGTTGTTGCATTCGTGATTAAATAGATTTGTTTAGATAACAAAACATTAGAATTGTTATATATTTTATCTTGAATTATGTATTTTTGGATTTTGGAATACTGTTCTTTGGAATATTAGTGGTTGTGATACTGTTTTAATAATTTTAGGAACCAATTCATGGATAAATTAGAAATGTTATGACAATGCTATAATACGGATCTATTTTCGAATGACTGTCAAAAAGCTATGTAATCACTGTGCAATCAAGCCTTTTACACATAAAGCCTAACCTCACGTAGGTGCTATCAATTTGATATCAGAAAGATGCACTTATGATATTTAAATTTGAAGACGCACTTATGATTATTAACTTCCCGCAGGCTAAATTATAGTCATGGGCCAAAAATCGGAAATAAAATTTTTTGCATATCTTCACGTTTTGAAGGTTACTGAATTTTGGCATATCTCAGAAAAAAACATTCTATTCGGAATGATAGTAAAAGTGATTAGTTTTTGGCAATGGCAGGTACAGCCGTTTCGGAGATGCAAATGTGCTAAATGTGCAAAACATGGCAGCTTTTGAGAGAACTAAAATTCGATTTGAATGATTTAAAAACCTTTCTACTTGTGTAAACGAAACGGTTGCTTTTGGAGAAAGAATATTTTTAATTTTTTTTTTTTTTAGTTTTCGAAAAATTAATTTTTTTTGAATATCGAAAAATAATTCGGGTTTTAATTTTAATTCTAGCTAAAATTCTAAACATCACTTATATACTTCAAATAAATAATTTTAACTATGCAATTCAGTTTATTAAAAACTTATTAAAATATTTGACAATGTTCTTCATTTTAAATCCCATTGATTAGGTTTTGTTTATTTAATTTTTATAAAATAAGAATAATAAAAGTTACATTATTTATAATAATCTATTTGAAAACATTTAATATTCCTCGAATAATTCATTAAGGTACGGCAAGTTCCAGAAACTTGACTTAAGGCACGATGCCATTCACCACTAATTTGACGTTTGTGTGTTTTGCAGGTTAGATTTTATGTGTAAAACGTCTGATCACACAGCAAATTCATATCTTTATGACAGTTTGTTACTTCCAACTCATACGAATATAGACCCGTAACATACATTACCATAGCATAATTTTTATTCGAGAATTGGCGCCTTGATCAATTTTATTCATTCGTTCTTTAATTTATAGTGTGATAAATATTTTAGTTTTGTTTGTTGCATAAATCTTAAATATTTATATTTGTAGAATACGGAGAAGGATTTGGCTAATTTGTACTTGTTTATCTATGGCTAATTTGCTGTAAGCGCAATAACTAGTAAAAAGTAATAAATATATTTTTCCTAAAACAAAAAGGCGTTAATTAAAACGTTTTCAAAGTATTAAAATCATTTATAAATCTGTGTTAAATAATCCTTTCTGCATGAATGATACATTGCAAATACTTGAAAACAGATTATCGGGTCGTTGGTTGAAAGTATTGGAAGACATAATATGTATTTGTTTTTGTTGGTGATTGACTTATTGGATTTTATTTTCATTTGTGCACACCATCATGCAGATCATTTTAAATAAATCTCAATCTGCAGTAGTGTTATTTATTTTATGCCAAATAGTGTTTATTAGTAAAACTAAAAATGTGTGATAACTGTAACTTTAATACAAGTTAGTTTTCTGGAACCCTTGCAAAAAACTTCATCAAACCGATATAAGTATAAACTTTTTCTGCTTGGCGAATATTTGAAATATTTATTTACACATTACACACACACACACAGGGCCGGATTTAGAAATTTGGCGCCCCGGGGCAATCACAAAAATGCCGCCCCATCCCTGAAATATTACGAACTTTCAAACCTTTTTTTAAAGCAATCGCGCTGCTTTACCTGCGTAGTGACAAAATAAAGATGCGCGTAAGCGCCGT